CTCACAGGGTGTGTCTGTTGTGGGGAGGGGAAGGGAAAGGAGTTTGGAAGCCGCTCTGAGACTCCTTCGGGTAGTGAAGGGCGGGGTATCAATCCAATCTAAAAAAAAATCTTTTATAAAATGATAACCATTGCCTAAAAACAGTTTTCTGCGAAAAGTGGTAATTCTATTTTCCTGCATTCCGTTCTTTAAGTTTGCTCAGAATTGCACTTACCTGAATCAGTGGCAGAGGTGAGGCCAGAGTTTTCTGAGCCCCCTCCGCATCCCGTTCTTCTTGTTTCTGTCTGAACTAGGCACGGCGTTAGGAACAGCCTCCTCCTCGCCCCGATGCCGACTGCGTCCACGGCTCAGATCTTGGGCAACAACGAGTCCATTGAGCCCTACACCAGCAACATCTACACCCGCAGAGTCCTCTCCGGAGAGTTCCAGGTAAACAGAGGCCGCATTGAATAAGCCTTAGGAACTCTTCCTGGTTGGCTGTTGTGCTGGGAAACTGATTATGAGAAACACCCCTGCATGCACGCACACACACACCTCCTGGTGTCAGGGCTGCTGTGTGAGGATCTCTTCTGGTAGACACAGGATCATAGAATCATAGAATGTTAGAGTTGGAAGGGACCTTGCAGGTTGTCAGGGCCTTGCTCTGGCCGCGGGATGGCGCCCCTGGTGGCCGTTTTGTCGGTGTGAGGTCCCGGGCGGCCGGGCGATCCTGGAGGCAGGCAAGCGCTGCTTGCGCTGGAGGGAGAGAGGCCTCTGATCGGCAGGGGACGGGGTTGACAGCACCCTGGGTGCCCCTCTGCCCAAATGCTACGATACACCTCTGGTGATTCCCTTCTCTCTCTGCTTTCTGCAATCGTCACCGTGTCGTATCCTCCCCGGCCCTCTCCTCCGTCTGCCTTTTATTTAGCTCGCCTTACACCCGGGACTGCCCCTCCAGCCCCTGGTCCAGGCCCCGCCCCTCCTTATAACGGGGAACGCTAACAGGGCGTTCCCCAGATGTCGGTTGGGACTCCGAGTTGCTGCTCCCGCCTCCTAGTGCCACTTCCTGGCCCGGCCCCGTCTCACCTCTCCTCCCCGCAGCCGCTCCTCGGGCCTTGGGGCTTTGCCCTGGCGCGACCGGGGCTCGACTCCTTTCTCGTCGGCGGGTCAAACATCTGTCCCTTGGCCAGACGATCTTCCCCAGGTAAGCCGGCTCGTGGAGGGGAAAGCGTTGGGGCCTCTCGAGTCTGCCGCCGCGCCGGGGGTTCCAGGGACGGGACACAGGTCATCTAGTCCACCCCACCTGCACTCTGCAGGAGCACAGCCGAAAGAGAGCCCTGCAACATACCCGAAAAGAGGGCCGTCCAGCCTCCTCCGCTTGAAAACGTCCAGCAAAGGAGCCTCCACCACCTCCCGAGGCAGACTGTTCCGCTACAGGAGGCAGGGCCTCCTCCGTGGCAGCCCCACGATTATGGGACAACCTCGCAAAGGAGGTGCCGATTATGGGACAACCTCGCAAAGGAGGTGCCGCCTGCCCCCCCCCTTTTGATCTTCAGGGAGGCCAGTTGAAGATGGTTTTATTTAGGACTGCAGTTGACTGATGCTGTTCTTGTTTGTTGACAGTCCTAATCTGAGATTTCAGATTGTGGCCTTCTATGTGCTTTTATAATGATTTTATTCATTTATTTTATTAGATTTATACACTGCCATCCCCAATGGGCTCAGGGCAGTGTACAACGTTTAATATACAATCAAAACAATATTTAAAAGAACAATTCATACATAAAATCGTAAGATACCGTATAATTGTAAAAATGGTCAGATGATTAATCAAAATCAGGCCGCCGATGGACAGTTGGCCTGAAGGATTGGGCAGGAAACGTTAGGGCCATATTGTTCCAATTGTGTTTTTAATGATGGCTTGATTTATATCGTAAGCCGCCTTGACTTAACGATGTTCCAGCAATCGAGTTAATTATAAAAATCATGTCTTAAGCCTTTTGACTGGTGCCCAGCTAAGAAGATTTCTCAGTGGAGGGTGGTAAGCAGTGGGGTACCGCAGGGATCAGTACTTGGTCCACTGCTTTTTAACTTGTTCATTAATGATTTGGAGTTGGGAGTAAGCAGTGAAGTGGCTAAATTTGCAGATGATACGAAGTTGTTCAGGGTGGTGAAAACCAGTGAGGATTGTGAGGCACTCCAAAGGGATCTGTCAAATATGCCTGAGTGGGCGTCAACATGGCAAATGTGGATCAATGTGGCCAAGTGCAAGGTGTGCCCGAGTGTGCCGCATGACGGAGTGAGCTCCCGTCTCCAGTTCCAGCTCCTGCCAACCTAGCAGTTCGAAAGCAAGACATTGCAAGTAGATAAATAGGTACCACTTCGGTGGGAAGGTAACAGCGTTCCGTGCGCCTTGGTGTTTAGTCATGCTGGCCACATGACCACAGAGAAGTCTTCGGACAGCGCTGGCTCTTCGGCTTGGAAACGGAGATGAGCACCGCAACCCTAGAGTCAGACTCAACTGGCTTTCGAGCAAGGGACACCTTTACCTTTTTACCTAAGACAGACTACTGGGAACATTTTGGAAAGAGGGCTAATGTTCGTGTTACAAGGGATGATGATGTCCTGTGCACTAGAGAATATTATGACTTCTGCAAGGGAGGAATGTTTTAAACAAATAGAAACAAATGAAACCACTGCAAGGTGTGTTTCCAGGTGTGGGCAGGGGGCATGTTACAGAATCCAGGAAGCTTGCCCTGAGGTCCTTGAGAGGCCGCTGAGCAGGCTTGTGGGGCTCCAGGTGAGCCCCTGGGCTGCGTTCGTAGCCCAGAGGTTTCTGGTGCAGAAGGGGGAAAGGACTCGAAGGAGCGTCTCTTCTTGGGGGTGTCAGTGACCGTGGATGTTTTGGCCTTCCAGATCGTCAACCCCCACTTGCTGAAGGACCTGACGGAACGGGGCCTGTGGAGCGAGGAGATGAAGAACCAGATCATCGGCTACAACGGTTCCATCCAGGTACCTCCGGGGAGCAGTCCGAGGGTGGGTGGGGGGTCTGCTTGCTCCGGGACGTCAGTTCCTCTTCCATAACTGAAGTTCGGTGTGCCAGGCAGGGCAAGGGGCCCGGGGTGCCGTTCACACTGTGTCTGGTCTGGGCGGAACGGACGGGGCAGTTCGTGCCAGGCTTCGGAACGCCGCTTTGCCGAGTGCGTGGCTTCCTTGAGGCACAAGGTACTTCCTGTGAAGAGGTTTCCGGAGGGGGAAGAGCCATGTCGGCCTGCACTAGGAGAGTAGATCCAAGTCCAGGAGCGCCTTCAGAGACCTGCAAGGTTTCCGGGTGTGTGTGTGTGTGTATAAATTTCAAAAGTCCCTTCATCAGACACAAAGAGGGGCAGAGATCCCTGGGCCCTTACAGTCTCCCCCTTCTTTGCAACCCCTTTCCCACCTTCTGGCTCAGATATATCAGGGCTTTGGGGGGGGGGGCTCCATTCCTACTCGTGCCTGACGAAGGGACGACACCAGTTTGGTGTAGTGGCTAAGTGTGCGGACTCTAATCTGGGAGAGCCGGGTTCGATTCCCCACTCCTCCATTTGCAGCTGCTGGATGACCTTGGGCATGCCCTAGTTCTGACAAGAGCTGTCCTTGAAAAGGAGCCGTTTCTGTCAGAGCTCTCTCAGCCCCACCGACCTCACAGGGTGTCTGTTGTGGGGA